CGACGCTTGTCACATTAGCGAATCGCTAAAATTGCGAGGCGATTCATCAAGTGGTTAGTGGGTCGGTTTCCCTGTTAATTTCATAAGTGAGCCTTCACCGAAAACTATGGCGAATTTTTCGGCGAATTCCATGGACGGCGACCTTTCGCATGAAATGTTCCTGACGAAAGTTTCGCACGGCATTGTCCCGATTTAATACGTTTCCACCAATACATTTTTATTACCGTACATGAACGTTAAGCTTTATCACCGATCAAGAATGGAAATGGCTCATGTACTTTAATCTATCGATCGTAATATTATATATTGCAACAAGATATACATTTTTTTATCCTTTTCTGTACAACTCGTTTTCGATGAGATGCGACACACATTAGAAATTACAGTCATTCAAGTTTAATTACTTAAAACTAGGCGTTCGGTGAAAGTAACATCGCGTGTTTAAAACGCAATAAAAGTTAGAGTTCAGTTCTATATTTACTCGATTAATTGTTTAAGAAAAAGTGATCTGAGGAGGACAGAGAAAGAGCAGAGAGAGTATCCTATATAGATATATTACATTCCTATTGTCGTATAATTTGTTTTGTTTTTATTGTTTGTTCAGAGTGAATAAATATTGCGATTCCGGTCGCTCGCGCATTCGCGGTGGTTTCCTTTCGTTTCGCATAGCATCGCGATTGCGCATTGTAAAGTTTAGCGAAGTGAGATGGCTAATTCTCCATAACAGGATGACAAAGAGCAACGAGCGACCACAAAAGTCCAATGGACTTTATCAGTGCGCCGCAGAATGCATCGAAGTAATTTGTCAGTCATTGCACTTGTGCCTTTATTGGCGCATTCCTTCGTTCAAGTCACTCGTCCGATGCATTCGACACAAGAAATGATCTTGAAGACGTGCATTCATCCGATCGATGTAGGAATTTTAAGCGTAAATGTATCAGGACGCGGTTAAAATCTCTCGTTACAAAAATTCAATTTCTTTTATTTTGTATTTCTTGTTGTCACAATTTTATTTAGAGAAAAAACGCTTCTTAGAATAAGACGTACACGTTAAAGATTTCCTTTGATTCTAATTTTTGTGTTATTCTGACTTGCAGGTGAGTAGGCGATCCAAAGAACATGCGACAGAAAAGAAGGGAAGGGTGAGTCAATTTAAATTGTCGTTAGAAGTCGTAGTCGATCTTTTCGTTGGCCGAGGATTAGTCACGGTGAGAAATCCGCGCTGAGAACCGCTAATCCGCTGGTCCCACTAAGTGGATGCCCACGACGATTTCCACCCACGTGGCCGGATCTTGTCGATACAAGTCCGTTCGATTAGTATGCATGTCGCATTACATTGAACAGGAAGGGCTGTTTAATAACATGGCGGAGAATAGTTCGCATCCACTCCGACTCGGGTGTCCGGATATGCGTATGACTGCGAATATTTTTGCGATGCATTATGTTACAACGCCGCAAAAGACAATAAGCGACACATCGTCATCGTCGCATTCTTATCGCCACTTAACTTCACATTATTCGTGAGGTGCTTCTGACACCCCAACGTTATATCTTAATTTTCATTGTTCTTTCTGATGATTTACAATCAATTAAGATTGATAATATTCTACGGAAAGACCGATTGTTAAAAACTTAGCTAGATACAAATCTGAAAATACCTTTGTTGGATCATCAAAATATAATAATTACGTAGGAATTTCAAACAATGAGCGAGGCTGCAAAAAATTTTAACATTTTAGCAATCGGTTTGAGAGTCCTACATAATTATGTCGATAATAATTATGGCCCAACAAAATTATTTTTAGACCTGTATTTGGCAAGTCTTTTAAATAATTTCGATAAAATAGTTCTTTCTGTGCGTACATCTTTCAGATAAAAATAAATATAATTTTAAAATCAAAGGTTACGAGTCATAACAAGATGACAAGTGTTAGAAATCAACCTAATATTTAATAATTAAGTATATAATAAGTACATTAATACACAAACGTTTGAACCCTTATCGGGTCATCTTCAGTGTACACAATATTAAAATATTAAAAACAGTAAATAAAATATAAACAAACTTGTGCGATTAATTTGTCATACATAATGTTAAGGCAGTTATTTTAAATTATTCCTCTTCAAATTTTATGCGATGTTAAAGCAATCATTATAAAATACACCTCTTCAAATTTGATTTCTCTTATGTTTTTTTCTTTAATTCTTCAAATGATGCAGACGGTAATGCTAAAAAATAAATTGGGTTGATTTCTAACACTTGCTATCTTGTTCTGACAAGACGGCAGACTCGTAGCCTTTGATTTTAAAATTATTTTTATCATTTGAGTCTATATAGGATTTTTCGATTTAGTTTTTTATTAGGAATAGCACTGTATGATTAGTGGGCGTTATTTCAGTTACACCCCATATACATACATTGATCAATAAATACAATTTCTTTTTAGTTGTGAAACAATTTGCGCTAAATATAAATTCATACATTTAGCAAAGTAAGGTAGGGGTGTTTTGTACAATTTACGCGAATAATAAACGGTTAAATATGTATGAAGAGAAACTAATATCGATACTAATGTACGTACGTAAGTAATACGTAGATAAGTTATAACCTAACGAACACGTAAATCTTGTTATACTTGAGTAGGTTTATTGCACGGGAGAAATCCCAAAGTTGTGTCCGCGTGCGTTTTCACTAACAAGTCTCTTCGGAAATAACCTGCCTTATTAGAGATTACTATCCCGCACATGCGCTAGAGCAAAAGTGTTTCAAGTTAACTCAAGTTATTCTCCGCTCGAGAAAATAATCAACGAGTTTCTCGTGTTCCAGTTACTTTCGTGGACTATGATGTTCCTCTTGTTTGTTGTAAATTACTTTTTTAAACGTTGAACAATCATAAAACTTTTCTTCTTACTGTAAGGCGAACTTGAAGTAATCTCGCTTCAATTTGCAACGCAGATGGGCTTGTAGAACTTTATACTGAGTAAGAAATTAATCGAAGTGCAATATAGCGATATTTATCGCCCGAATATAAGATATACGGAAGTACGATGATTATGCAAATTTGTGAAAGTGACTACGACGTAAAATATACGAGATATGGTACGATAGAAACGAGGGTAGAAATATCCGAAGATATCTTCGGTCGGGCGGTGCATTACACTGAAAAAAATTTTATTCATTTTTGGTCCAATGAATGATCGTTAATCAATGTCCGACTTAATGTAGTTAATTCATTGATACAATAACTGGATTCATTTATACAACTATATATTCATTCTTGCAATGAATTCTAGTAATAGTTTTATAATCTAAATCATTATGAGAATTCATTGGACCAATTTTCATTATTTTTTCATAATTCAATGAATATTTTATTGTATTTACGTACAGTTTTGGTTCAGTGTATCAAATGCATATTTATCAAAGTGCAAAAACGGTGTCCTTAGGGTGGATCGGAGCTTGCGCATCAAAAGCCACAGAACCTTCATCAAATATATAAGGAAGCAGGCCAGAAAAATTCATGGTCAATTTCACCCGACGGATTGTGTGTATGCGTGAGCGACCCTGATTACGCTGGCGAATATGCGCATTCTTAACTTAGGATTCTCCCGGCGAATAAAACATTCAACGCTAATTGAGTTGATTTCACCGAGCTGTCCGTCTCTTGGAACCGACAATCGAATGGTTGGCCATATAGTTTGCAGTCCGTCGACTGCGAGATTTCCGCGAAAGTCTCCTATGCGCAAATGCAAATTCTGCGTGTACATGCATGTACGCGACGTACGTTAGTTTTAAAAGTAGACTTTCCAGCAGTATCAGACGGCGATTATTGACCGTGAAAATCTCGCAATTCTCCAAATACACCGATCGATAAGTCTGTTAATTGACCAACAATGTGTTTGATCAGTCATGTTTAAGATTCAACGAAGCTGTTGACTGTGTATTAACTGTGCGGTGCCTCGTTAAACCGTCTCGTCGAAGATGTCTTGTTAGAGGACGACGGTGACTCGCTAATACTTCCTTACTTTCTCCATCTCTAATTGTCACGGCCGTTAAACAACGTACGCGTAAATTTCTTCAATTACGCGCGATCGTACACGTGTCCGCTGCTACTTCGATTCCGTTTTCGCGCCGCGCGATCGTTGCTTTCACGACTAACAGATCTAGGCGAGAGATTCGGTATCGTAAAGAACGATAATATGAAAAATATATACACTTTACTGAAAAATATTTCATTCCTTGAAAGGCGTGGCAGTTGAACTCCTTCGTTTTACATGGCGAGAGTACTTCGAGTTAATCGTGCACTCTCGGAGATTCGGATAATATAATAGAATGTGTTGACAGAGAATTAGGAGGATGTAACAGCAATCGCTATCGTAGGGATATCATCGTGACGTTATCTTATCACCGTTAATTAACGAGGACTAATGGTGCGACCTGAGTAAGTTGGCCCGCGTATGCCTGGAATAGGAGAGTGGAAACAGGTCGCCCTTACCGTGAATAATTTTGCGACTGTGTTAGTCTCGCGAATGCAAATTAATTACTCGGCTAGAGACTGACTTAAGCTCGGGATATATCCGTCCTGTCTCGTAGTTTGCTTGAAGTGCGACTAACAAGAACTCAACGTCGAGTCAACTGTCAACGGAGAGGAGTCACTTTGAAGCTTGGCTGGGAATTAGTATTTAATACGAATACGGGTACTCTAAATTATAAATTATTATTGTTATTATTGTTATAACTTAAACTCATAATGTCAAATTATATTCAATTTAAGTTATTTTGAACCATTTCTATAGGTCGCCATTGTTCCTCTTACATCGTCAATTTAACTAAAACAATAAAGTCGATCAATCTAACTCAATAAAATGTAGTAAATTTGTTCCAAATTTAGTTTATTATTTACTTTAAGTGTATACATTAGTATGGATATTTACTTTAAAACTAATTTTTGACACATAAAAAGTTAAAAATAACAAAATGTTATTTAACTCAAGAGATTGGATTATCATTGCTCGTTTGATATCCAACAGTGTAAAAAGAATATTGACTATTGGAAATCAATGATTTAACAATCAATCTCAGAGAGATAGGATGAAAATGGATTTTTTCCCAGATTTTTTTTCGGCTCTTTCTTTCCGCGGAATGCGAAAAATTGTTTCGAATTTCGTTTCGGTTATACTGACAGGATTTTGTTGCGATTTTTCCTCACGTTTGCGTACCATCGAACAGCACTTGTTCGTCGATTTAACGAGCGCAGTGCGTTTTACAGCTAAGCTGCATCCTGAATAGCAAGTCGCATGCTCACTGCTCATACAAATCCTTTAGTTGTAAATTCACGCTGATTGGACGTACCGTCCAATGGGATTATGCAGCCTTGGCGCTTAATGGAATTTACAAGTTCAAACTGACGTTGCACCGGCTCTCCACGTGCCCGGTTGTTTGTTATCCGCTACTATGGTTTCTCTATTATTTTCCACGTGCGGCTCCCTCTTATCCCACGAGAGAGGGAGCGTTCGCGCCGGGACGGATTCAAGGTCGATGACGAATCGCATTTTCTTGCCCCGATGATTTCTGCACGGCACGCATAATATATACGTGTTTTCCACCGCGAATCGCTGAAATGGAAAGAAAATGAATAAAAAGACTCTTGCGATTTACTCCGCAGCGAGCGATAAACCTTCGACACGGGGGTTAATGGCTTAAGAGTGGCGACCCATTGATAACAAGGCCGTTGTCGGAACGTATCGGCGATGAATCATCCGGTCGGCTTTCGCGTATAATAGGACGAAGTCCGCGAATCGTGTTGCGTTATTATCGCTATATAACACGACGGCGGTTAACGAAACGTGGGCGAGTGCAACGGTTTGCGGACTCAAGACGCTCAGGCATGCGCGGATGCAGAATTAATCATCCGCAAATGAAAGCTCCGTGCGGCTAGTGTTTTGTTACAATCGCGTCGCAAATTAAGCTCAACCTCGTCTGCGCGTGCCGGTGTGTTTTAACAGTCTATTTCTCGTCTCTATTCAGCACGTGTGGCGTTCAACGCTTCGTTAAACTCAGAGCGCACCGTGCTGTGTACATCGATAATAAAATAAACAAAAGAATCATATTTCTTTCCTTGTGCGCGCACGACGGGCGAGT